TAAAAATAATAGGATAAGTTCTCTTTTTTCATTAAAAAGACGTTTTTTTTAACGTTTTATAATATTTGGAAAAATGTTTTTATTTTTAATATTCAATAAACGTTTATTTTAACATTTAGAAAATATTTTTTAAATGTTAAATGTTAACATTTATAAAAACGCTTTTTAAATGTTAAAATAAATGTATTTTAAATATTAAAAAACAAAACATTCTTCCAAACGTTAAAAAACGTTATTTTAATGAAAAAGGAGAACTTATCCCATTATTTTTGATGTTTTAAGAATGTCTTTTCAAATGTTTTTTAATGTTTTTTTTAAATATTTGTAACGCTACACTTTTTCGACTCGTGCAGTCGGCACACGAATCGGGTGCAGGACAAAAATTGCAATTATAGCGCTCGACCGTTCGGCGGATTCTGCGAGATCCGACAGCTTAAAACACAAACTGGGCGCCAGGTACGGTGGTCCGTACCAACAAAAGAACTCTAATCACTAAGCACGAACTGGTCTCACCGACGAGGGTAACTCGTCCTCCGCCCGACGGTTTGCTCGAACAACCGGCAGCTCAGCCCTGCTCTCGGTAGAGGGGCTGGTTCCACGACAAGTCGGAGGTGAATGGTGTGACGGTGGTTATCGAAATTATGAGATTTTATTGATGCTCAAACAGAATTTATTCAACGATAGCTCATAACATTACTTTCGTATTTTCGGCAGCGATACTAACAATAATTAGATAATCCTTGTTCGCGGTCGCGCTTCTGGTGTTCGGTAGTGCAAATCTTCGAGTCGTGGCCAACGAAGGTCACGATAGCCACATAGGCCTTCGGCGGTGTGTTCGCCCGTTATGTCGCGTACGGCGGATGTTCGGCCCAAATCGGGGTTTAGAACGACACGCGGAGTTCTCCCTTTCGCGAGAGGAACGCGAAACCTGGCCCTCGTCCGCCCAGGGCGGACGGCCGAGCTCTAACTCACCGACGCCGCAACCGCTCCGCGACACTAATTACCAAAATATCAGTACGTTCCTTTCGGAACGGACTTACCAAAAACACAAACAGCGGAGCGGGGCAGTCGGCAGCAACCAACGGCAGTCCCCTCTGGGTTCACAAACTCTCAATTCGTGACGGTAGCGGCCTTACGGTGGAGAGCGAGTCGTCTTTCCAACTGTAATCGTCGTCGGCTTTGCAAATGGCGCGTCCTTTACACGTTCCGTGGCTTTGGGATATCACGAGAAAAAGCTCTCGAGCGATCGTTAGATCTGGTTTTATTCCAGGTTTAAATTGCTCGCTCCGACAGCTTCCAGTCCTTGATTGGCCGATTGTTAGGCTATTCCCCCATTTTTCGGCCTTTGTTTTTCGGCCGACCGTTTAGTCTTACGTCGGATCCTCATCGCTTGTTGGTTTCTCTGACCTTGGATCTAAGTCTTCTCGGCCGTTGTTTCCTCAGTCTCCGAGCCTTGCGGCGTCTTTGCTTGGCTCGGAGGACGCTCCGGGTCGCGGAGGATGCTTTTCGCCGGCATGGCCTTGGCTGCAGCGGTCCTCCGCTCGTCCGCGGTGTCCGTCGACTTCGTCCTCGCGGCTCTCTTGCGGCAGCTCGTGACTGGATCACGTCGGCAACTTCTTCTCGACGTTCTGGGCTCCGGTCACCTCTAGGCTGAAAACAGGCCTTTTTAGAGGGGTCTACTCTGTCGGTCTCTAATTAATCTTAAGATTACGCAAGCGATTCACCTGAGATATGCGGTCCTCCCGATGCTCCTCGCTCGGATTCCTCTTCTTCCACGGCGGCAGCTAGTCCTCTCCGATATTGGTCCTCTTCTTCCTAACTCATCCTTTCGTTAACCGTATTTTTCGATACACAAAAAAATAGTGGGCTACGTAGGTTCTATTCGCCTCACGGTTAGGACGCGACATCCGCCTGCAGCCGAGAAGCTCATACTTAGGCTTCCTCACGACTTTTCGAGTGACGGACGATACTTAGCAAAAATCGTCACGTCACATATTATTTGCTCATTGGGTAACGGAAATAACTAGTAAATAAGTAAAAAATATTATATTCGTAATATTTTTTAAATATTGCTGTATTATTGCTAAAATAATATTTCAAATTAATGTCACTGCAATGTTTCTGCAACATTGCATTGCAATATGCAATGTTGCAACGTTATTATTATATGAAAATATATCTATAAGAATAGCAAACTTATATTTTTATTTGAAAAAGAAATTCGTATATATGGTAAATTAAACGTTATCATATATAACGTCATTTTGCAAAGTCATTTTGACATCTTAAAACATGATGTTAAATACACGTAAAGGACTAATGACGTTATTGACCAATAATGACTATATATTGACATCAAAATAACGACAGTTTGCTGCCTGAGCATGATAAAGGAAGAAATTGAATTGAGAATTAAAACTTATAAGGATAGAATTACAAATCATCCGAACGCTACAGCTAGACAACTAATATCTGAAGGCAACAGCAGAAGAAGGTTCAAGAAGAAGACACTTCGCGATTTACTTACAAACTGAAATTATAAATTGAATAAATGCTTGCATGTGTCACAGCAAACTTAAGTCCTATTCTGTACAAGTCTTATTCTTCCAAAATATTACTGAATGTCCAAAATGAACAGATTGTAATTTTTAGGGAGTTAAATAAAAAAAAAATATTTCATGATCTACAAAACTGTGTTTCTTTATTTTTAGACAAAAACTGACCTTTTTTGTATACTAGAACTACAAGCGCGTGCTATGCTCGCGTTATTTTAACCTTTTTATATTATATTAAAATAAATATTACTATTTTCATCAAAATAATTACTATAAATACTATAAATTAAAAATAACTATAAGAAGTAAAAGTAAGAAATTGATTAGTCATAGTCGATTATTATCCTCACATTGTATTGTGATTGGTTAATTTTTTACTCTTCTTATAAACATACTTTTGGTGCAATTACACACCACGTATAAGTCTAAAGCCCATATTCAGAACGCGCTTACAACGATGTCAGCGCATTGACAAGTCATTTTCAGCCAGTTGGATGGCTATAAAAGTGAAGTTATAAAAATAGAAATAGGAATAAAAATAGGAAGAAGAGAATTTTTTAAAAATTATTAACCTTTAATCTCCAGTGCCCCTTTATTATGTAACTTGAAATTGCGAAAATTATTATTATGTAACTCAAAATTAACGAACTGTCACTTAACTGACTAACTAACACAAAGAATAGAGAACTTTCTTCTCTCTCTTTCTTTTTCTTCTTTACGGTCCTCAGTTGATTGTAAAAACGGAAAGGCAAATAAACGGATAAACAATAAGATGGTAAGACACGATAAGACAGAAAGACGATGAAATGAAGAGAAAATAACTAAGCTAATGTTTTTACTTTAATTTACTGTTACTTTTATACTAGATATACATCTTTTTTGTGTGCTACTCCTTTACTTTTTCTCTCTCCTGATACCGCTATTTCGCTTTTTCTTTTCTTCGTGTTTTTTACAAGTAAAAACACGTGAATTAAGCCGCGACATACAAACAAGACAATTAATCACAGAAAAAAGGCAACGATTAAATTTACATGCTTTTTGTAGAAATAGATAGAAGGATATTGATTCTGTCAGAACATTGGTGTAAGATAATAGGAAACAATGGAGATTATTTAGTAGAATATGAATACATCGTTTTTCATAAAATTAAACACGACTTATTCATTTCATCAAGTGACACTTATTGTTTTGTAGTGGTCCATTGGTCTTGGTTCATTTTTCTATCACGAAATCCATTAAAACGTTTGCACCCAATATTCAGTACATGCTAGGTTCATTCTGCAGCAACAAATATAAATATTTGTTGGCTAATATTTAAATATTAGCATTAGTATAATTAACTTTAGCAAATATTTAAATATTTTTATGCAACGCTCCAAATACAGGTGCGTTGGCTTTACTTGACTTTTTTGCAATCTATTTGAATTTGTTATCTCTGGTAGGGCAGTCGTTTGGGAAGCGAAAGATTTTGTTACGTTTCCCGATCCAACAATCTCCCGGTACATTTTTTCTCTACTTTTATTTATGTTTGTTTCGATTTTCCATTAATTTTTTTTATAAAGAAGTTGTAATAAAGATTTAAATTGTAAAATTTGACTTTAATAAAATCTTTTCAAGTTTTAACACTGATGATACACTGCAGTAAAATCTAACCACACTTTCGGAATGCATTTTTGAAGTGCCTACCCAGTGAGAAATGACTTATTGATCGATATCTTTTCGACGTCGATCGATAAGTCATTTCTCATTGGGTACTGTGATAATTGAAGGGCACCCAGATAGTTAAACTTAAATAGGCAAATTCTGCTATAAATTTTTGATGTTAGAAAAGATAAAAATCTTATACAGAATCTGTTTTATCTGACTATGTTGCCAAATTGTCGTCAGAAATCTGACAGAGCTTGCTGACATGCTATGCCAGTAGATTGGCAGTAAAAACTGGCAAACAAACCTTGCTGCGTGCAATTTGACAGTATCTACTGTCATCAATCTATCATCAAATCATGTTAGGAAATCCTGTTATCAGAACACAAACTTAGTGCAAACGCATGTCCTATACAGCACCAAATGTCTGAAATACGTTCCAGAGACAATGTGATATCTCTGGGATGTCTCTGGGATGTATTTCGGACATTTGTGCTGTATGGGTATGGTTCTGTTAAGAAATTCTGGTTGAATTTGCTGCCAATCTGCCAATATATTGATAATATTTTGCTTATTGTAAAAATGAAGCAGGAATAAAGAAATTGTACTATATGGCACTTACGGTTAAATACAATGGTTAAACAGCGCGAAAAACAATTTTTTTTACTTAACTTTTTATAACGAACAATAGGCTATATAACGAATAATAGGCTATATAAATAATAGGCGCGGAGTATAACATAGTTCATCCTGTATAGTCTACTTCTTATGCTCACACTAAATTACGCTCTATTATTACAGAGCAGACAAGAAAATAAAACACTGTAAAATAAAACTTGAAGGAAGACTCTATACCACTGGAACTGTGCAGTTTGAAAGCTTAGTGGAATTAGTCAATTATTATGAACGACATACATTGTATAAAAAGATTAAATTAAGTCATCCTGTCAATCAAGATATTATCAGAAGAATGGGGCTGGTATACACTTAATTTTTGATAAATTTGTGATTATAAGTATACAAATATTTATAAATACATAAACATATGTATATAAAAATATTGGAAGCATAGATTATAATTTATTGCTCTTATTGTTTAGGATAATGATGATGGATCTGTTTATGGCATCCCAGGATATATGGATCCTACAAGCTTTACATCAAAGGTACAATATGCACTAGTAACAACTGAAATATTCAATAAAACAATTTCGATATTTTATAATTAAAGGTTACGGTTAAGGCTATTTATGATTACAAAGCTAGAAGAGACGATGAATTGACATTAGTCAAGCATGCTATAATTACTAATGTTAATCCACAAAGTGGAGGTTGGTGGAGAGGTGATTACGGTGGCCAGAAGCAACACTGGTTTCCTGCTAATTATGTAGAACAAATCGATCAACAAGAAAATCAGGGTGATGTAAGTCTTGAATTTTATCAATAAATACAAAAGAAATAGGTTAATAAAAACTTGAATCGCAAATGTAACATATATAACGTATGTAATATATATACAGGGTGTCTCAGACCTCCATGATCACACTTTGCAAGAACGTAGTACAGATTGAGGTGAGCAAGAAAGTCCTGTGCCATTTTGCGATATTCACAATATTTTTCGAGAAATTAATTATTTTGTCTCAGCTAATGAGAGCAGAGAAAACGACAACCGAAAGAAAGATATCTTCAGCCGGCGCGGGACCGTGATATACGCGAATCGCGACTCGCTGCATCCCTCCACCTATAGCTACTAAATACAGCGAGGCTCGATATACTAACACATGTGCATGAAATGTCCGAATGCCGAATCGACGCCGAATCGAAACGTGTCGTTACTTCGTCTGCATACATGTATGTAGAGGTGAAACAACGAAACGGCAACATACTCTTAGATTCGGCGTCAATTCGGCATACGGATATGTCATGCACATGGTTAGTGTATCAAGCCTCGCTATATCTAGTAGCTATGGGCGGAAGGACGCAGCGAGTTGCGATTCGCATATATCACGGTCGCGCGCCGGCCAAATACATCTTTCTTTCGGCTGTCGTTTCCTCTGCACTCATTAGTTGACACAAAATAATTAATTTCTCGAAAACTATTGCGAATATCGCAAAATGGTACAGAACATTTTTGCTCAATCTGTTCTACGTTCTCGCAAAGTGTGATCATGGAGGTCTGAGACATCCTGTATGTAAACACACACACACACACACACACACACACACATATATATATATATATATATATATATATATATATATATATATATATATATATATAATAAAGTGGTCCTTATTTTTCGACTTTCAAATTTTTTCCGCGACACACTTCAAAAAGTTTCTATTTGAAAAAAAATCCCTGCCAAACTTTTGTTCGATCGGATAACGAGAACTCATGCCCTCGTGTTGATAAATATTGGAGTACCCTTGTATTAAGCTGCTACGTTATCAATATGGTTTTTAAAGCATGTTTTCCACAAAAATCGCCCTAGAAGACAATTCTTTTTTCTTTCTACATTATTTGAGATCTTATAGTCTTATTTAAACAATTCGATAAATTGTTGATGATTAAAAAATAAAAATAAATAGTTATTGCATTTATTGTTTGAACTACAACAAATCATGTATGGACTATGTAAGTTGCAATAGTATGTTTGAAAAACAATATAAGTGTAAAACATGTGTGATACCTTTCATGTTATTAATAATGAAATTTTTTAAATGAAATATTACATAATAATTAATAATCTCGTGACTCCTAATTTTATGCTGGGAATGGGATGTATAATACTTACCCTACTGAAAAATTTCTGTTGAGATAACAATAGAATTCTCAATTTAATTCTCAGTTGAATCCTCAATTCAATTCTCAAATGCCGTTTCCGCAAAAATTTGCATGTTAGATCTCAATTGAGATATTTGTATCTGATGGAAATAATTTATTGAAAATATAATGAACTTTTGCTGAAATGCTTTTGAAAAGCATTCACAATTTTGACCCAATTTCATTAAAATTTCATTATAATTTTATTAATATTTCAATAATATTTCATTAAGAATGTAGAAAAATTCAGTGAAAAATCATTATTAATTAAAATAGATTAAGAAAAGTATAATAAAGTATTATTTTGTCTAAATAATAAAAAAAAACTATAATTTCATTTTTTGTGTCGTTTCATTTATTCGTAAGATTCGCATGGATTCGATCCCGTGTCACACGGTCACCCATTTTTTATGACTATGCGCTGTTCAATGCCTAACCTCAACGATCGTATGGGAACTGGTGATGGCAATGCGCTGTAACGATATCGTGGTGGATTGCATTTACAATATACTCTTATACGTTTAAAAATGTAATGACATATTTGTCGTTGTTGTTTCAAAGGACGTATCACAATGCGATTAATATTGACACAATGTTGTATAACTAATCAAACTTTAACATACAACATGCTCGCAAAAGAGAGAGAATATTCCTTCTTTCTCTTTTTTTGCGAGCACGTTGTGTTTAAATTTAATTAGTTATACAATATTGTATCAATATTAATCGCATTGTGATTGTTGTTACGTCTTTTATAGCATAGTCATCTAAGATGGGTGACCGTGTAACGCGAGATCGAATCCACGCGAATCTTACGAATAAATGAAACAACACAAAAAATGAAATTATAGTTTTTTTTATTATTTAGACAAAATAATATTTCATTATACTTTTCTCAATCTATTTTAATTAATAATGATTTTTCACTGAATTTTTCTACATTTTTAATGAAATATTATTGAAATATTAATGAAATTATAATGAAATTTTAATAAAATTGGGTCAAAATTGTGAATGTTTTTTAAAAGTATTTCAGCAAAAGTTCATTATATTTTCAATAAATTATTTCCATCAGATACAAATATCTCAATTGAGATTTAACATGCGAATTTTTGCGGAAACGACATTTGAGAATTCAATTGAGAATTCAACTGAGAATTGAATTGGGAATTCTATTGTTATCTCAACAGAAATTTTTCTGTAGGGTAGGCCGCGGATTCGCAACGTTTCCCATTATCTGAACGCGTCAAACAATATAAAGAAATAGCATTCTTTCGATAAAAAATCTGTCTGTTTCTAACGAAGACTATTTTAATCCCACTACTCGTGGTTTTGTGGCGGGAATAAGGCAGCTTTCGTTAAAAAGAGACAGATTTTTTATAGAAAAAATGCTATTTCTTTATATTGTTTGACGCGTTCAAACAATAGGGAACGTTGCGAACCCGCAGTTTAAGTATTATACAGTTTGTTTGATAAGAGAGTGTCCGGCTTTTACATATTGTTAAGGATCGGATCGAAAAGAATTGCGGCTGCTCATGAGTCGCGCATGTTCGCTTCGGAGTCGGACATCGTGATGCTCCGATCCTGAGCGCGTGTCGCGAGGCGTCGTGTTCCGCGCAGCGATCTCCCTCTCTAACACCTCGATAACTGTCTATTTTGTCTATCTATATAATCTCGCGGCTTTGTTAATTCGGGCATTACCGTTACCTTTTTTGAAGTAATATTCGAATCGTAACCTCTAATTTCGGCTGCTTTCAATATTCTCTACTCGTCGCCGATTCCTCGTCAGAGAATTCGTATTTAAACGCGGTTGCCGAGTCAATCAGGTTATTCTGGATCAAACTGCAGTGAGTTCTCTGCAGTCTGAGTCGTATCGGGTACCGCCGACTCGCTAACAATTATCGCGTCTCATCGGCGAACTCATTCCGAGAGTTAAGAACAGCGTGCGTCATATCGAGGGTCGCCGATAATAGTTCATATCCTTGGCATCTAAAGGAACACGACTGCATCTCCATCCGCCCGATCTATCGGAGATCTTAGTTTCATCAAACGGACGGATTGAGCTTCCAGCATCTCGTCATTGTTCTATCGCCGAGGGACCACGTCATCTTGGCGCCCAATGTGACCATTGTTTACGTTCCTTTGTGAGAGCTCAAGAAGAATTAAATATTATTTACAAAAATTGTTCAATCTCCAACAGTCACTAAAATCAAATCGTTCTGGTTCTCTCATTTCCATTCCTCACGTTTTCTATTCATCGTCAATATTCCGATCCTCCGTCGCGTTTCCCGCCTCCTACCTCCCGCCTTCGCGCTCTTTTCAGAGCGGTCCAGAAATTGTGTTCTCCTCAAAATTCTTTCGCGAGTTCTCGCATAAAACACATATAAACTTTTACATATAAACGGGTAGACGGGAAATTCAAACAGGAGCCAGTAAAGGGACTTTTCGCTTAAGATGTTTTGTTGATAAAGCTTTCCCATATAGCACAAGATGTCTCAAAGATATCCAGAGGATTGCTAAATATCTGCATAAGTTCTCAGAATATCCTAAAAATATTCCGAGGACTTTTAAATGTCCACACAAGTCTCCAAAATATCCCTTCAAGATCTTATGCTATGAGGGTTTGGTTGTCATCCGATCTTCGTGATAAAAATATATATTTCGCCATGAGTGCCAAATACACATCGCGTTTCGAAGCCATGTTTCTTTATACACATCCGAAAGGACCAAAAATGTCACGCCAAGCGACTGCTAAGTACATGAGAAAGTCATTAGTATTTATAAATAAGTGGGTGAATCGCTACTTAGAGGTAAAAAATGTTGATGACTTACCAAAACGTGGCTCTACGCAAGGATTTGGACTTTGCATATCTTCACAAACAATTTAAACGCTAGCAAAATGGTCAAAATTTATAAGAAGGCTTACTATCTGGTCAAACATGATTTATAAGGAAAAACAAAAAATGGATACTACAAGAGGACAATCATGCTAAACATCGAAGTCGCCTTTGTACTGCGTGGAAATAAGAAAATAATGTTGAATTATTGGATTAGCGTCACAGTCACTGGATGCAAATCCTATCGAAAATGTTTGGTGCATGATGAAGTTTAAACTTCGTGGAAAGAAAATTTGGTCGGTCAAGGAGTTAGTTGAACAAATTCGATTGATATAGAGATCTTTACCTTTAGAACATGCCATAAAATTAGTTGAAAGTATGCCTCGGAGATGCCAGGCAATTATTAATAATGGGCAAGTTATTAATAATAAAGCATCACAGTTCTAATAAAGTAATATGTATATATTTTATTCCAAATCATTTCAAATAAGTTATTTATCAAGTTTTGCCGTACACGTAAATCAAACAGACTATACATCTATGGTCCCCTCCCAGCATAAGATTAGGAGCCACGAAATTATTAATTATTATGTAATATTTAATTAAAAAAAGTTTCTTTATTAATAAAAACATGAAAGAGGTATCATGTTTTACACTTATATTGTCTTCTAAACATACTATTGCAACTTTTATAGGCCATACGTGATTTATTGTAGCTCAAACAATAAATGCAATAACTATTTATTTTTATTTTTTAGTCATCAACAATTTATCTAATTGTTTAAATGAAACTATGAGTTCTCAAATAATGTAGAAAGAAAAAAGAAAAGTCCCTTAGGGCGTTTTTTATGGAAAACACGCTTTAAAAACCATATTGATAACGCAGCTTAATACAAGAGTACTCCAATGTTTAACGAACCCGAGGGCACGGGTTCTCGTTATCCGATCGAACTCAAACTTGATAGGAATTATTTTTTTGTTATATGGAAATTTTTTGGTGGGTGCCGCGGAAAAA